AAACAGATCAGTGAATTAATGATAGGCACCCCACAGTTTAAACCTCTGGGGCATCTTTTGGAGACATCGCTGTTGTAAATTATTAACTCATCTCTATAATGAAAAGAGACCGTATGAACAGCAGGGCTCAGGACACAGGGTTGATTGTACAGGTAACAAAAAATACTGTACTTTGTGTCTCATTTACTTATTTTAGGTTTTTTTACTGGACAGATTTCAAACAGTCAAGTTGACAAATTATATTCTCTTTGCACAACAACATCAAGACTCTAGTACTTACTGGTGACACGCCCACTGGATCATTTAGCTTTGGAGTTATTCAGGGTGTGTTAATCCCACTAGCAGAAAGTTTATGGAATGTGTCGGAACTGAATGAACCAACAAAACACTTTTCTAAACCATTAGTGAGGTAAAAACCCCTTTCTATAACAACACATGTTAAATTTTTAAATTAAGTTCTACACACTTTAAAGTAATAGAAGAGAACTATTTAACCATAGTCAAACTGAGCTACAAGACGTTAAACAAGTAATTTCCCAGGAACCATATTTAAACCCAATTATAATATGATGAAAAATACTTATATGTGGAGTATAATATACCTTTCGCAATGAGAGGCTCCTTATATCACAAGCTTCTGAGTCTTCTCTATAACTCCCCACATAGTGTGTTTGTCCTTCTCTGGGCCTTCCCTTCCCTTCTGTTAAGTTTCATTTCTGCTCAATAGCTCTGCCAGTCACTTCCTTTATTGAAAGAGGCATGTCAGCATGCAAATGAGCAACCAAATCATCTGTGGCTGCAGGGTGTGTGAGCAATCACACAGATCCATGTTGGAAGAGTTTCCAATCCTTTAGTAAAAGTACAATACCACCACTGGAAATACTACTAAGTAAATGGTCCTGCGTTAAAAACCTTATTTAAGTTCAAGGTATGATGTCAAGTATCAAAAGTTAAAGCAACTCATTGTGCAGCACAAACTTCCTGTTAGTGTTTTACTATTGTTAGGGTGTTTCTGATTAATATTACTTGCTGCATTGATGTGTATTGTACTGCCATAGTTGTTTAAGGCTGAGCTAAATTTAACTACTTTATACTACTGTTTGGGTAGTAGTAGCATTCATATTCTATAAGTCATCATGTTGTTTGGTAGCGTTGCTAGTCCGCGACAACCTTAAAAGTCAACTTTTCATGATCGGCCCTACTTTCAGCTTTAAAGTATCAGAATTGTCTGACCCCATTAAGGCTTAATTATTGAGTTTATCAAAAAAATTCTAATTCAAAATCACCAAATTAGGAAAAACATGGTTTTCTTTGGATAGGAAGGGTATGAAAAGTTGTAATATAGTTCTAGTAGTGCTACATTTGCCTGAGTAAAAGAGAGTGAAATGTATACTGCCACTATAAATGTGTAGAGTGGAAGCATAAAGTTGCATAAAATGGAAATACTCAAGTAAAGTACATATACCTCAAACATACCTAGTAAATGTACTGAATAAATTACTTGTTACATCCCTTCACTACACAAATAAAATATTGATTTGCCAATGCTTTGCTTGGACACTCAATGAGGCACTGTCTATTGCTCAATTGTTAATGTTTGACTGTAGACTGAAAGTATATCCCTAAGTTTCACTTCCAGTGTTTGAGGCAAAAGTTGACTCCGACACAACAACAAAATATTGATCATTATTTTTACTCAAAAATGTACTTTATTGTTTTGCATAAGTACATTGTCTAGGGTTTGACATTTTATTCATTCATCCAAAAGCCTTAAACATTTACACTGAAATACTGTACTGCATGTGAGCTCACAATGCCCTTAAAATAAATTACATTCATACAATACATTCTGGAGCTACTGCCACACCCTGGAGTTTTAAAAAAAAGAATTAAGCAATAATTGTAGTTGTTGAGGTTTCTTTAAATCTGTACAAATCATCTTTAATATTTCATAGTGCACATAATTGTTATAAATGAACACAAACTGATAATAGTTACCATTCAACAGGGAATACATTTAAATGAAACTGAAACAAAAGTTTGACATTTTGGGAACTAAGCTTATTTGCTTTCTGGCCAAGAATTACATGGAAAGATCAATACCAGCTTATCTTAACAGTTAGCCTGGCTCCCTTTCAGTGATAATAAAATTTGCCTACCAGCAGCTGCGAAGTTCGGTAATTACCACACCTGTTTAATCCACACAAAAGCTGACGTGTAATAACAACAATTTGCGTTTTGTTAAAATGGCCCAAACAATTTCTTGGCTCTGAGAGGTGACTTCCTGGAATCTCTGTTTGGATGCCTGACAACTGCTCAAACACAAAACCCCACCACCATGAAACGGCAAATTCTTGTTTTTACACAAACAAAATATAGCGCCTCACTATTGAGATTTAGAGGTTCTAATAGGGAGATTTTGTTACAGTTTCCAGTATTTATGCAAAATTAAATAAACAGACTAGCCTTTGTATTTAACAGAGAGATGTGGGGGTGATACTGATCTTCTCATCTAACTTTCCATGGGAAAGTGAATAAGCATATTTCCCGAAAGGTCAGCCCATTCTCTTCAGGCAAACACACCAACCAACTAGGTATGGTGCTGTGGAGTTTTAAACCCTTTTAGAAAAGAAAAAAACAACTTCAGTGCTTTTGAAGGTCAGTCGTCAACAGGTTCGTCCGATCCTTAAGATCAGTGTGCAGCAATCTCTGTAGAGACAAGAGAGAGACGGATTTAAAGGACTAGTCATTGCTGTGCAGTGTTTGATGTCACAAATTAATAAAATTAAATTAAAAGAAAGGAAGCAATTTCATTGAATGATTTTGTGGACTTTAGACCCTGACGCTGACCTGTAGGAAGTGGAGGTTGTCTTCAGTCTGCGAGAACTGCTCCAACTCAGAGTTTCTTCTCTGCAACTCGGAGATTTCTTCTTCCAGTTGTCGGGTGAGCTCTTTATTTTGTGCCCAAGCCTCCTTTGGATTTTCTCCATTGAGGTCTGCAGAGATCTTGATTTTCTCAACTTTACTCAGTCTCTCTTGAATGGCTTGCTGAAGTTTCATCTTTCTCCTTTTTAGTTTGACCTGTGGGAAAAAAAACATTACGTGAGGAGAACTGCTGTTAGTGACAAGCAAAAAGAAACAAATCCTCCTTGTCTCTCAGCATTAAAACTTTGAAACATGTTTCAGTCAAAACTCATCACTGATGTCAGTTTGGTCTTTAAAAGCTGATGCACAACAGACCTGCTTTTAATTCATTTTGAGACCCTTCAGCCAATGCATGTAAGTTTCTCTTAGAGTAATTTATTGTGTATTTCCTCTTCAACGCTGCTATGATTGTTTTGCTTTTGGGATGAATTGTGGAAATTCTTTGTATAAATATGTGCTGAAATGAGAACGTGTTTGAAATAGTGTCATGCCAGTGGTTTTTGCTCGTTGTTCTCACAATTAGGACCAGATGTTCTCTAATAGTTGTAGCTTACTGTCATGGAAATAATATTTATTCTTCTCCTTCCACATTCTTTTGTTTTCTCTTTATTTTTTACTGAAGTTGAGTTTTTGATCACTCTGAAACCATTACATATGTAAACATATTTAATGCCAGTTTCCAGTATTCTGTATTAGTTTTATTTGTGTCTTGAAATCATATGTTAAAGGCAACTTATGTTAAAGAGAGATACTGACAGTTATGGGATAATGCTAAACTAATGTGACTACTTTAGCTGTCTGGAATGCAGCTGAACAGTATTTTAGCATTTAGATAAAATTCTAAGCTACTGGAGCACAAGTGGAGAGTGTATTACACTGAGAAATGGTGTGTTTTATTACTTATAATTTCATTTTTCAAGGTTGGTAGGTTATTTCATCTCTAAAAAGTTACATAGTCTCTGAAAAATCTTCACTCTGCAACTTTAAATGAGTTCACAGTCCACAGTTTGGATCAACAAAGTGCAGTTTATGTCTGTGAACAGCAATATGCTAGTGTTATTTAGCATTACACTAAAATAACTTTAATGTTTCCTGGTGTGGTGACTGTATCAGACTTTACCTTCTTCTTTGCAGCTTCCTTGTTGATAGAAATAATGTGATGGCCCCTGTGTTCCGACTGGACACACATAGCACAAATGCACGTTTGATCACTCCTACAGAACCTGTTTAACTGCTTTCCGTGCAGTCTACAAACAGAGTCATCCAGGTTCTTCACCACACTGATCAGAAGATGGCGCCCAAGATCTTCATTCTGGTAATGTGGCTCGAGATGAGCGACACAATATGAGGCCATGCACTCCAGGCAGGATTTGACTGCTCTATGCTTTGCTGGGCAGAAATCACAGGGAACCTCTCCAGCTTTTAAAGGCACAGTTGCTTCCTCAGTTGAGGCACCAGCATGTAGTGTTTGGTCTGTTTTGAGCTGTGGCCTGGTGGGGAAAATGGCCTTGCAGAGGGGGCACTGCCAGGCCCCATTGATCCTCCAGTATTCGCCTATACAGGCCAGGCAGAAGCGGTGTCCACAGGGGAGGGAAGCAGGGCTTGTGAACTCATCCAGACAGATGCAGCACTTAGGAGGCTCGGACATTAGGTCAATACTTATTGTCTGCTTTTGCATGTGGGCGCATGCACCTCTGGTCTGTTTTGGTGTGGTATCAGCATGCACAGATGATGGTGTATTCCATTGGTTGTTGAATACAGTATATCTGTACAGAAAACAAAGTATCGTGTTAGCATACATATGAATTACAGTACTTCTTTGTCAATTTGGCTTTGATGACAGGAACCCAAACCAGCTGAACAAGGATGAGTACAAACAGTTTATGTCAGTCTTTATATCGCTTGACAGGATCAAAAGCTCAAAAAGTGTTTTATTTAAATGTACAATTACAAGTAATTGGTAGTGGCTAACTATTTAATTGTTTCGCCACAGAAGAAGAAGCTTGTAATTTGCACCCCTGCTACAGAGACAAGGACTGGTATGTGCCTGGACTATGTATTGTAACAGTACAATACGGAGTCCAAAGGGGACTGGTATGAGTTCAGAAGGGACAGGTGAACTCATGGGCAGTGAGAAACTACAGTTGACCACAGTACCTGATTCACAACTTTAGTAACACCTGCAAAAATTGCTTTGAATGTATCGTTTTTTTTGTTTTTGTTTTTGATACTGCCTTATACGTAAGCGCCAAGGGAAGTGGGTTAACGACGATGACTGTAAAAGGCTCAACAGTGAATCATATCTAAATTTACGAGTGAGTGTCATTGATCACAGGCTCTCACAGCAGCCGCAGGCATCAACAGAAGCGGAACACCACCCCTCTCCTTTGTGCTCCTTTTTGGCTAACCTACAATGCTGATGAACTGCTTTAATTTCTTAATTCAGAAAACATCACACTGCATGCTACGTGCAAGGTTCATCCTGGTGTTGGGTCAACAAATATAATAATTAAAGACAATATATGAATAAGACATGAGTTTGATAAGTAAGTAATGGATCACTCATTACAAACTGTATGGTTGTCAAAAAATAATTAATTAATAATTACACACGCTAATCAATCTACTATTAATAGAGCAGTAGCTAATAATGTCATGCAAATAAGCCTCTTAAATTAGAGCCTCAGCCTCTCATTAACCTTATTAGCAGTCGAGTTTGGGTGCTTGCAAAACTTGACAAGGTGTACGAACAAGGGAGGTAATATTAAAAGTGAACACATCATCAGCTGGGAACCTTTATTGTTACAGCTGTGTTGGCCCATGACCCCCGTCTGGACCATCAAACAACTATTTTTAAGTACTTTTATATAGGCTTATATAATTCACACTTAAATAAGACTGTATGTGGCTGTTTGTAAGCGTCTTAGGTGTTCCATGGTATGGTTAAGAGGAGTGGTGTGTGATTTTAGACCAATCAGCACTGCCGACTGAGTGAGCTGAACGGTGTTACTGGTGTCGGATGTAGGTAACACCAAACTGAAGAACAGTATGTATGATATAGATAACAGAAGAACCACAAACAAGTGCTGTATCTGAAGAAAACACACCAGAGACAATCCTAGAGAAGGAAAACAAGGTCACCATGAACCAACCTCAAACATATCCATCTGCCTCTGGTTGTTGTGAGTCTACAACCAAGGCATAAATTGAGAACTGAAAAAACCAAACGATGGAAGGACTTACTTGCCCAGACATCAAGAGAACCTAGAAAGTCTGCAAAGCTGCACTGAAAGACCAGCAGTAGAAGTTCTGAGGTAGGAAGCTGCTGGAGTCTGTAATAATATTACAGGATCCAGCTGTGGATTCAGGCCCCATACAGCCTCCCACAGTAGGTGAAGGCATGTGCTCCAGCTTTCGCTGTAGGTTTACTGGCCGTCTTCTTTTTAATGGCACTCATCCCATAAAACAGCTCACCAACAGCTGCAGGTGGGGTGGAGAAGGTTTGCAACAGTGCAGCAAAGTCAAAAGATTATTGACAACTACTGTTGCTGTGTGGACTTTCTCCCTGTATCAGCTTGGGTTTACTCCGGGTACTCCACTTTCCCCCTTTATACTCTCAGTTTTGACAATAATATTGCTGAATTATTATTATAGTCTCAAATTAGAGTTACAAGACAAAGTGGTTGCTGACCCTGACACACACTCAAGCAGGCCGTAACTGTTTACAGAGAATATATGCATCCTTACCAGGGTCCAAAGGTAACACAGGAGGGAGTATACGGTACAATAAGGATTCAATAAAAAGTATAATTTTCCTTATTTATTTCTTTGCATTGTTTAGTTTTGGGCCCCATTACAGTGTATTGAGTATTACAGGAGTATTGTTTTTTGACTGAAAAATACCAATACGGATAAACATTTTCCTTCTTCAACAAGTAGAAGCCATGACACAGTAACATCTGGAATGAATAATAACCTTCCAGGTATGAGTATTCATTACTGGCATCCAGTCAGAAGGGTGGTGAGAATACTACGTCAGAGCCATGTGGGATTTTCAAAATATTGCAATATCGCCTGTCCAATCAGATCAAGTATTCTCTGTTATCCTGATCAAATAGACGGCCATTTGATTGCTGCATTTGTCAGAAGTTTAATACAGTTAAAGGATTTACAGTGAAAATACATTTCTGGTTGTGGATTTATGTTTTATGTCATAATGTCCTGAGTAGCTAAAAATGAAACTGATTCACTCATAACATACATGAACTTCAAACAATGTGATTAAGTATTAGTTTAACAATCAGCTTGTTATTTCCATCTGACTAAAAATCTACAGCAAACTTTCCCTATAAATACAGGAGCTTTAAAATTAAACATAAAACTCACATACCTTTCTTGTGCATCTACCGACTTGTCTTTCCTGAGGCTCTAACAGTGTTGTGTTACGCTTATCGGTTGGTTCCTCCTGTGTATAGGTATAGGCACACCTATCACTGCTGGGAAAGAGGGCGGCCCTCTTGGACTCTGTCATTTCCTTGATGCTCATAAACCCATATACACCTGGTAAAGTAGGTGGCGAAGTTTCCTCATCACAAATTAGCTGCAGCTCCAAAAAAAGGCATCACAACCACGCAATATGTTTCTTTTAGTACAGTAAAAACACAAAGACACATCTAAATACCTTACTCAACCTTTATTCTACTGAAGAAAGTCAAAACAACTTGTCATGTCATGATAGCATTGCACAATTGTTTACTGGATTGATTATACCTTCACCCGATAAGGAATACTTTGCATTCATTTTAAAGTGTAAAGTGTGAGTTGTGTGGATGTTATTGATGTGAAAAGACCTTTAGCTTAACCCCTCCTCCAAACAGCAATTGGTCAAGTAAATGTGATTACTTGACCAGTCAGAAATGTTCAGCACTACAAGCCAAAGTTCTTGTACTTTTGGGAAGTACTATCCCTGAGAAGAGCAGAATAGAGTAGAGTAGAATATCACCTTTGGTCTCCCCTGATCAGATAAAAAACACAGAGACGCAGCCTTACTACATTATACTGTTGTTTGAGGGGAACGAATGAGAGAAAGGAAATATGCTTGATCTTACACAGAGGTAATAACCAAAGTCTCGGATTTCTTTCCCTTGCTGCACAGATAGAAGTAGGGGAACAGTTTCTTTGCGAAACACTCTCCTGTGAAAGAGTAAATGTTCAACTTCCTATCCACATCATAGAAAGACACTCTGCCTTCATTATAGTCCAAATACACTCCTATCTTTCTTGGCCTGGGACACAGGTGAAGGACCGTGTATTTTGTACAATGAATTCGGTAATCAAAACCTCTCTTTCCTATGGCGAAGAAGCCATTTTCTTTTTTCAGAGTGATCTTCCCCGCCCTGTTTACTGTTTCCTTGGCAACACCAACGTCCCAGTCACCTCTCAGGCCCACTTGGACTTCCCAGTAGTGGCGCCCAGAGGAGAAGCCCTTTGTCCCTAAGATCATGGGATAGTCAAACCTCTTGGAGTCATCAGATGATGATGGGCTTGCAATTATGGAGTACTTCAAACATTTTCCAAATTCACACACCACAAGGAAGCAACCAGCGGTGGCTGGGTCAAAGGTGACCGTCTCTGAGAAAATGATAGTTGGTTGAAGCTCTCATCTTTAGTAATAGTAAGAGAATTTAATGAGAAAGAAATTTAATGTATTTATGATCTCACCTTTATATTGTCTCATCTTGGTCAGTTCTGTATGTGAAAACACAACACCACAGTTATGGAAAACTCAGAAAATAGAGACATCTTCCCTGATGAAGTGAATGCAAAAGATATTTACCGGTTTCTGTCAGAGTTTTCAGGTCTGCTTGAAAAGTGTGTACAAGATGAGTCATGGCTCTCCTCACTGTCTGCACGCAGAGGTCTGAATAAACCCTGATCTCAGACCAGTTCTTCGTGACTGATATGGTGCTCAGGGCCTGCAAAGTCTGAAATGATTCACAAAAAAAAACCACATGATCATTAGTGGCACAGGGCTATTTTTAATCTTTTTCTAAAGTCATCCATCTGCACCCAAGCAGACATTTTCCTGCAGTCCTGTGTCTTCGACATTTTATGTGAAATTTTGAGAGACTCCAGGCTTGGCCAAGAAGTAGACCCAGCACATTACGTAATGTGTTGTTCTTACACTTTGGTTTTTGTATGGACTAAACAAACGTATAAAGTATAACCTGAGCTTTAGAGTTGCTGGCATTTCTACCTTGTTTCCAGTTTTTGTGCTAAGCTAAGCTCAGTGGTGGAAAGTAACTCAGAAATTTGACTACTGACAGCTTTTTCGGCCTTGGTGTAAATTCAATTTCATTAGATGCTAATTATTTGTCTAATTATATATATGTTCTGATCCCCATCATTATATCAAACTGCGTTCTGTGTCAAAATTCTGGGAGTTTTGCTCTGAGGGAAACAAGGTGACAAATAATGTGTTGACTGACCTGCAGGAGGTGAAGGTGGTTGTCACTTTGTGAAAGCTCCTCCAGCTCAGAGCACGTCCTCTGCAGTTGGAAAATTTCCTCCTGCAGCTCTTCGATCATGGCTTTGTCTCTGTCTTGTGATTTTCTGAGCTTCTCCTCAATATTCCTTTTTAGTTTAGTGTGTGCCTCTTGTACACGCATCATTAGAGCATTGAAGAGCGTATTACAGTCATCAATCTCTTTATTTGCCTTTTCCTAATAACAAATAAAATGATGTCATTAGCAGAAATTTATATTCAAGTATAAAATTGTACACATGCAAAAAATTCCCCAGAACTCACTCTGCTCATTTCAGAAGAGTATGTAAATTCCTTTATCTTTTCCATTCTGTCTTCAATCATCACTTTGATCCTTGCTTCCTTGGACTCAATATTTTCCTATCATTTTGAAAGGACAAATGGGGTCAGCCAGTCAATTCTTAAGTTAAGGTTGAATTTACTCTTCAATGCATTTCACTAAAATTGGCTCTTACTTTTTGTCGAGCCCCTTCCTCTTCAACAGGCACAGTTTCGTGGTCTCTGTGGTCTGTCTCACTGCACAGCAGACAGATGCACACCTGTTCATTCCTGCAGAAAAACTCCAGGAGCCGCTGGTGCTTCTCACAGATCCTCTCCTCCAGGTTCTCCACCGGGTCAGTCAGCCTGTGTCTCATCAGGGAGGGAACTCTCTGGTGAGGCTCCAGGTGAGCCTCACAGTACGAAGTCAGACACACTAGGCAGGACTTCAGGGCCTTGAATTTTATTCCTGTGCATACGTCGCACGTCACCTGCCACGGTGCATCCGCACTTTCAGGTGTCTCAGCTTTCCTCTTCTTTATTTGGACTGAAATCTCCTCAATGACCACATTTGTGGATATCTCAGGCCTCACATGGAATCTTTTATTACACACTGGGCAGTGGCATAAACAACTTTTGTCCCAATGCTCGTTGAGGCAGGTCTTGCAGAAGTTGTGACCACAAGGTGTTGTAACCGGGTCGCTGTAGACGTTCAGACAGATCGAACACTGGAAATGATCCTCCGGCAATGAAGCAAGGACACTGAATGATGACATTATGGAATCTCTGTGGGGGAAAATGTGTTTTATATTTTTAGTATATGTGTGCTTGCAGGCTTTTTACATCGGGTTTAACAAGACATAACACCATATATTTGCTTTGAAATGACTAAAAACCCCAAAATGAGTGGGAAAATAGCAAAAAAGATAGCTATGTATATGTATATAAAGTCTGTTTTTAGACTGTTTTCAATGCTAATCTTGACCCGCCTGATGACTCATATTTACATGAATCAGCTTGCACATCCGATTTCTACATGACATTACAGTTCTGCATTTTAAAAGTAAAAACAAAAGTAAAATAGCAAAATTAGTTGAAAAAATGACTCACCTGACTGTAGTCAGTAGTTCTTATGGAAATGCCCGTGGCCTAAACTGTCTCTGAGATGACCATACGCAGCAATTGTGACACCACAAACAATTCAATACTCATCTCGAGACGAGCTCTGAGAAGCTGAGGCAGCTCCACTTACTTTAGTGGGTGTGGTTAAGTCAGACAGTTTTGCTGAAACGAAACTTAAAGCACTTAAAGTCCATGAAGCTGGAAATAATGACATTTGAGAGAACATTTATTGTTAAAAGTCATAAACAGTTCTCTTTAGCATACAACCTTTAAAGCACCTCAATCAACATGCAATTATGAAATCAGAGATCTAAAAGTTAGACATTTTTTCAAATGCGTTTCAAGGAATAGTTCATTTAAGAACCTTCTTGCTGTTATATGGGAAGATCAATACCACTGTCATGTCTATATTTGTCTGTGTGTTTGTTTGTGTGTGTGTGTGTGACAGCTAGCTTAGCTTAGCATAAACACTTAAAAAAAAACAGGGGGAAACGGCTAGCCTGGCTCTGTGGTAAATCCTCTTACCAGCCTCAACAAAGTTCACTAATTAACAAGATATATTATGTTTGTTTAATCCATGCAAAAAAAATTAACATTCTTGAACATAACCTTCCTTCAGTTTTTGTACTAAATAACTACTGTATTCAAAAACAAGATATAATTTGTTAATAAGTGAGTTTTAAAGGTGCTGCTGGATTTTGTTGCCTTTTGGACAGATCCAGGCTAGCTGTTTCCCACTGTCTTTATGCTAAGCTAAGCTAATCAGCTGTTGGCTCTAGCTCCATATTCAGTGTACAGACATGAGAGTGGTATCAATCTTCTTATCTAACCTTTGGCAAGAAAGTAAATAAGCATATTTCCCATAATGTCAAACTATCCCTTTATTCTTTGTGCAAATGTTGTATTGTGTATGTATTAATATATTTGTTGCGCTACACTTTACAATAAATAAACATTCAAAACACATAGAATAAGATTTCATCAAAACCGGTACTGCTACAACAAAATACAGTCAGTTTTCACTTTCAATAGGGGGTTTCAGTGTTGTTTTTACTGGTAAACCTGTTATTAGCTTTGCTTGATCAGGCTTTTCTGGTTCACCGGGCAAATGACGATGGTATCAGAGGATTTGTCACAGCAGTAGAGGTAGAAAAAGGGAAAGATCTTCTCCATGAACGTATCTTTGAAAGTGTAAATATGGGTCCAAGCCCTCACGTCATAAAAGGACACTTGCCCCTCCTCATAGTCCACATACACGCCCACTCGCTTGGGCTTGGGGTCGAGGGGGAGAAGTATTGGCGGGGCAGTTGACACTCGGTAGCCCTGGCCTTTTTTCATGGCCAGAGCCCAGTAGCCCTGGGTAGTGCTTACAGCGATCCTGCCCTTCCTTTTAACAGAAGACCTGGCCACACCCAGGTACCAGTCGTCCTTGTCCCCCACTTGAACTTCCCAGTAATGTCTCCCTGAGGTGAAGCCCTCGCGGCCCAGGACAATGACCACTGTGTCGAAGCGATCAGGGTTGTCTGGCAGGTCCTGCCATGCACCCAGGTGTCTCACCTGATGTCTGTCCTGAGAAAGCTGCAACCAAGGGTTGGCTGACTCAGGGTCCAGAGTGACGTCCACTGCAGAAAAACAAGACGTAACAAAGTGTTTATGTTTTTGAAGTTTTGATGATGAAATCAAACCAAATGAAAAAATCTAAAGTTTACCTGCATATTTCAGAATCTTCTTGATCTCTGTAAAAAAAAAAAAAAAAAGAAACAGATACACTGTCTTAAGCTTTTTCTGGTGATAATTTTAATTTGAAATCAAAATGAACAGAAACACATAAAATATATATTTGAATGTTAAAGGAAATCCTACCACTTTCAGCCAGCTTGCTGATCATTTCATTTAGCGTGGCCTCCAGTTTGGACATGGATCTTCTGATCATGCCTACACATGTGTCAGTGGGAACACTGGTCTCAGACCAGTCTTTGACAGAAGGAGGAGTGCTAAGGGCTGGGAAGTTCTACAGAGAGATAGAGCACAAGACATGACTCAGAAACAGGTTAGTTAACACAATAGCATATCCACAACTTTAATGACGTTAATGACGAAGTTATTTATAAAGAAACAACATTGTAATATTATTTGAATAATATTAAATTATTGGCAGACTGTTTTTGTGCTTTTGGATTTTTTGGATTACTCTTCAGAACAGGAAGACAGCACTGTTGTTTCAGCATAAATAATTTAAGAGGCCTCTGATGTTCCTGCCAAAGCAGATGGAGGAAGAAAAGCCAATGGAATATGCCAGTATTATAGCCTATAGTAAGACAGTGGAGAAAAACAACAACAAAAGAACAGTTTAGACGGAAACTCTGGTCTTAATTAGAGAAGGACTCGCAAAAACGTTACGCCTGGAACGCAACAGAGATGCCAAACATCTCAATAATGGATAGATTGGAACTGGAAAAAAGTCTACACCTTAAAACGATTTTCAGAGTAAAAGCTCAACTCAACTTTTCTCATTAATACAAAATGCTCTCTTACCTTTAAGAAGTGAATGTGGTCAGTCCGAGCCATGTTCTCCAAGTCTGTGTTTCTCCTTTTCAGCTCAGCGATTTCCTGCTCCAGTTCAGTGATGAAACCTTCAGCCCACCTCTCCGTCTGCCTCTGCTTCTGCTCTATGGACAAAACTAGCTCAGCCTGAGTCTTCTGAATGCAGCGCACCAGCTCTGAGAAGACCTGCACGCTTTCCTCAATCTCTCTCTGAGTGCTGGCCTGAAAATACAGACAAAATATGGAAATCTATGTTGAGTAATAATCTCTTTTTTTTGTAATAATCCTTATTTATATGCATTTACTAATGGTATTAGAATTATAATATCTATATTTAATCTCAGGGGGACCCACTTTGTTTAGTTCCACAGAGTGTTTGATCTCTTCCACCTTCTTCACTCTGTCCTGGATCATCTCCTGGACGTCTATTTCTGTCCTCTTCAGCTGTGCCTGTACAACATGATTTCACACAAGGCTGATGACAATAACTTTATCTTTACTTTTACAGTTTACTTTTGTTGTTTTTCTGGTTTTAGGGACAAAAACATGTGGCATTGCTGATATGAATACACAACAATTGCCTATGCGTGCCATCAGGAAATGATTAATGTGTAAAAAAAAACTACTGAGTGGTAAAGCTGGAAGAAGCAAACCTAAAACATGTTGCATTGAGCCATAAAACCAAAGGTTTACAGGGTGCAATTAGATTCTATTTAAAGGATCAACCTTGTTAAGTTAGCAGGCTAGTTTTCTTTGACAACAATGGCAACACCATTATAGCATGACACAGGAATATTGTCGTTTCTTGGCGTTAAAACTACAATGCAAGACTTAAAAAAGCATAATTTTTGGGTGTTAAAGACACTAACTTGGTGTACTGTAATCAATAACTAATCAAAAACATTATTACATTACTTCAACTCAATTAAAGGTGCATTTAAATACCCATACGTCACATATTTTGTAATTTAACAAGTGTAGAAATAGTAAATAAGAAATTTTTGTTGAAAAAGCCGACAGCCCTATGACAGACTGACCATCTAGCAGTTAGCTTAGCCTCTGTGACAATAATAATAACTTTGGAATAATGAGGAATTGAATTTTACCTCTCTTTGTAAAAGGCTTTTAGCTAACCACCTCACATCCCAGGCCTGTCTTATCACTTCACATGGAGTCCCCATTATAATAATAATAATAATAATAATAATAATACATTTTATTTAAAAAGCGCTTTTCTGAATACTCAAA